GCGTGAAGAGCTTTACAGGTACACCTTAAGACTCTGACTGTCTGTTCTCTTCGCGAGGCAGCAGAGGAGAGATTTGAGCAAGGGGACAAGAATGGCAAATGTTTGGCCCTGTTGGCGGCGGATCATCATCCTTTAGCGAATATTCCGTGTATAATGACATCAATGGGGGAGCGGGTGACAGATCCGGTGGCAATTTTGGAGGAATTTACACAGTACTATAGTGCGCTCTACGCTCCTGTTGCGCCTTATGATGAGGGGGCCCTTCACTCCCTATTGGTGTAACGCCACCGGCCCGCTCTCTCCTGTATCAGCAGCGGTTTCCCTGCGTTCCACTCAGGGGCGGATCCAGAGTCTATTCTCGGGAGGGGCACTGCCAGAAAATTAACTAGATCCCTGGATCCAGACAAGCCCAGCCTCCTGTCTCCCACGCTGTCAGAAACTGCATACAGCGTGTGCTGGTTACTACTTAAACCGGCCGCCTGTGTGCAGCTTCTGAGAAGAAACGCTATTAGCATAGCGAGGAAGCCGGCTGCGCATTTTGCATCACTCACACTACGCTAATAGCGTATCTTCTCAGAAGCTGCACACAGCGCTGCGGTTTAAGTAGTAGCCAGCACGCTCTGTAGGCAGCTTCTGACAGCGTGGGAGACGGGAAGCTGGGCTTGTCGGTGGATCTAGGTATCAGGTGAGTATTAAAAAACAAAAATGTTTTATTTTATGTTCCTGGGGACATGTAGGGCTCATTCACACTGGAATCGGCCGGCACGTACAGCTCCGTGCTGTGTGCACAGCCGTATCGGGCAGCTCCCGGGAATCAAGTATGTTAGGGGGCTGCACGCTGGGGCCTCCCGAGTACCCCTTGAGGAGTGGTCGGCCGCACGATTATAGAGTCGCATCTGTAGCGATGCATGTGGCAGAGAGGCGGCGGAGGGAGGGAACCATTGCACCTGCGGCCAGGGGCTTCATTTAGTAGGGGGCAGGGGGGGTGACGCCCGCGGGCTCTCAGCTGGTGGTATTCAGCATTGCTGTATAATCATTATACAGCAATGCTGAATACCACCCAGCTACAGTCCCCCAATCCCCTCAAGCCAGCCATCACCCACAGACTCCCCAACCTTACCTACAACTGTGGAACGCGGAAGCCGCACGAGTTCCTACTCGTGACGCGGCGGCTGCGTTCCACGCTGGAACGCGGAAGTCGCTCTGGACGAATAGCGGCTCCTCCCCACTCCCAGGCACTATTTAAGAGCACCAACGAGGCAACATGGCGTTTCCGATATTGAGGTCAGAATGCCTGTTGCCTCCTGAACCTGCTACCTCGTTTGTCTGTCAAGACAATCCCTGGACCTGCTGCTACCTTGCTGTACCCTATGGATGCCCTCAGCTCTTCAACTTATCGCTACAATCTCCGATTCACAAACTGCAAGTACTGCTCCTATTGGAGCACTTTCCTCAGCAATACATGGACTGTCTGGTTTGTATTGTAAACGCATCCGGGGCTTACCGTTACAATCACCATTTACTGTTTTTGTTGTGCCTTGTGTTAGTATACTGGTTATGAGTTAAATAGCCTTTGATTACTGAACCCTATGCGTTGGCTGTGATGTCTGGATCTCAAACTCGTTGTTAAGATTGCGAGTGATGCCTGAGATTCATACCTGTGTAGCCTTTTTGCCAAATACCCCTCCGCAGTTGTGATCCCAAACCTTGAAAGTTCTCAGTAGCGTGATAGAATATCGGAACCTTATGGATCCAGCGGAGCTCGCCAGACACCTGGTCATCCTGTCCCAAAGAGTGGAGACACTGACCACTTCGATGCAGGACCTACAGATGGCCTTCCGGCGGAATGGTACAGATATTATTTACAGGGCCTGTACAGTTTTTTCCTAACACGGGGAAGATTACCGAATTCCTTATATGAGGCGATTGTTGTCCTTATACCTAAACCAGGAAAGGATCCACTGCTTTGCTCCTCCTACCGCCCGATAGCTCTTCTGAACATGGATTTAAAAATTCTGACCAAGATTCTTGCGCAGCGCCTAATGGGGGTTATCAGCACCCTGGTAAATATTGACCAGACGGGATTTATTCCAGGGAAATCTACTGATACAAACCTACGCAGGGTCTTCACAAATCTCCAGCTCTCCCAAGCAAATGTTGGGTCTTGGGCATTGATCTCCTTAGACATCGAGAAGGCCTTTGATTCAGTGGATTTGGGTTACATGGGGGCTGTCTTGCGGTATATGGGATTTGGTCCTAACTTTTATAGATGGATCACTGTTTTGTATAATGAAGCTAGACCCTCTCTGAAGATAGGCCCTGCTTTATCCGATAGTTTCCCGGGGGAGGGGTACCTGACAGGGGTGCCCCTTATCACCGGGTCTGTTTGCATTAATGATGGAGCCCCTGGCTGCGGCTTTACGCACATCCACGGCTCTGGATGCGTTTAGGATGGGGTCTATTGAAGAGAGGTGTTAGGATCCAGAGCGCTGGAGCTAATCCCTGCAGTTCCTGTGCTCACCTGCAGGTGTCCCCAGGAAGCCAGGAGCTGTTAGGTATCAGACCACCACTGGGTGGTGCTGGAACCTGCAGCTCCAGTGCTCACCTGCAGGTGTCTCCCAGCTGCCAGTACTTAGTCATCACCTAGTGCTTCCTGGGAGAATATTTAAACCCTCCCTGCAGTCAGGATGATGGCTCAGTGTCCTATACCTGTTTTGCAGTCCTGAACCCTGTTCCCTGTTTGCAGTCCTGAACCTTGCTAGCTGTTTTGCAGTCCTGAACCCTGTTCCCTGTTTGCAGTCTTGTTATCTGTTTTGCAGTCCTGAACCCTGTTCCCTGTTTGCAGTCCTGTTACCTGATTGCAGTCTTGGGCCCTGTTACCAGTTTGTAGGCCTGATTCCGGCTTGTTGCACTCCTGTTGGTAATACAAATAAACTGTATATAAACACATACTGCCTTATACACCTGGGCCGGTACCCCTGACAAGAGGCTTGCCTTATACGTGGATGATTTCATTTTATTTCTGGCGGACGCAGGCCCTTCTCTTAGGGAGGCGCTGCAAATCTTAGTCAAATTCTCAATATTTTCTGGCCTGAGAGTTAACTGGACCAAATCCCATATCCTGCCGCTGGATGAGGGCACTCTGGGCTCGGCTGAGACCCATTTCAGACCCCTGAAATGGGTCTCACAGATTACATATTTGGGAGTTAAGATCACGGCTAGAGTTGGCGATTGCTACTCCCTGAACCTAACCCCAGTACTTGCCCTTGCCAAAAGGAGGTTAATAGCATGGAAACATTTGCCAATTTCAATGATAGGTAAGGTTAATCTGCTAAAAATGAAGATTCTTCCGGTATTGTTGTACTAACTCTCCAGTTTGGGTGCCTGCGAGTTTCTTCCGAGGGGTGACAGGCCTGTTCCAGGACTTTGTGTGGGGCTCGCAGGTACCAAGACTCCGAATGTCTATTCTGCAGGCACCTTGGAAAGGAGGAGGTCTGGCACTGCCTGATATGAGAAAATATTATTTGGCAGGACAAATGGTGATTGTACACAGGTGGCTGATGAGGGAGGACAGTGACTCTGCAGTGGTGTTGGAGGCGGCGAGTTTGGGCTCCTATGAGGCCTTGTCATCCCTGGTGTATAGGGGATGTGGGGCCCCGTATGACCTAGCGGGCTACATTGAAGGCATGGGGGCAGGTGTCGGATACGCTTGGTGGAGGGGAGATGGCTGTCACCATACACTCCTTGCTTACTTGCTTACTTCAACACCATACCAGATTGTCATGTCTCCTGGGTTAGGAAGGGCATCAAAACGTTCCTGGGTTAGGAAGGGCATCAAAACGTTGGAGGACATATTGACTAATGGGAACATTATGTGTTTTGAGGACCTGTGCATCAAATTTGAGTTGCCGGGTTCCTTCCTCTATAGATATCATAAGTTGTTGTACAGGGTGTATTATACGCCTGCGAGGTTGGCCCAGATATATAGCACGTGCTCGGCAACTTGCTGGAGATTTACCTTCTCTCCGGCGCGATTTAGTCATGTGTTTTGGGACTATCCTGCTATAAAGAACTATTGGGTGGAAATCACAGAATTCATAAAGCGGTTCCTCATGCTAGAAATCCAGCCGGAAATGGGGCTCTGCCTGCTGGGTCTCAAAGAGCGTAATACGTTTACACATGCCACCAGCACACTGTTGGGGATTCTACTGCTTTATGCCAGGAAACTGTTTTGAATTGGAACAAGCCTGCCCCGCCTACCTTGGCAAATTGGAGAGGTCTGGTAGAGTCTGCTATTCCAATGTATAAAGCAGCATATATCCATAGAGCCTGCCCACAAAAATGTTATAAAGTTTGGGGAAGTGGGCTGGATGCCTTCTCTACTGTGACAAGCTAGAGGCCAGTACGGAATGTGAACATCATTGTTTGTATGGTTGAGGTGGGGGGGAGTTGAATATTGAGAGGATGTGCACTAACTGATTACTTGTAGACCCTGGTGAACTTGAGTGTACCTGATGGCGGAGCTTCCACCTACACTGGGTCCCTGAAGGAGTATTCATAACTCCCACATATTGATGCTCTGAACAGGAGTGATTTACCTTAAATTATTTTGAATTTTATGCAGAATTCACAGCTCTGGTTGTAGGGAGGGATGGGGGGGCAGGAGGTTATATTGCTTGGAACTGTATTGAAAGTTGTGCCCCTGAGTGTTGGAACTCAGGTGATATCTGTTGTACTGTATTACTTTATATGAAAATCTAATAAAAACAAATTTAAAAAAAACAAACAAAAGAACACCTGGCTACTGAAAATATACGGTGAAAATGGATTAAACAAATGTACTAAATTTTTAATTACACAAACTAGGAAAGACTTGGAGTTATTTTAATTTATTAAATGCTACTGTACAGCTCCTGTTTCTAGGATACTTATGTTATATACATATTAACTGCAAATTAATGAGGGATTTGTTAGTAGTTAGTGTATATTTTTATTCTTACGCAGTCCTGTAGACTCCATCCGGGAAGCTGTATTTACGGTGTCTCCAAATAGGCAATATCTTGGCATTTTAATGCCAACTACTCCAGCAGCACATGGACCTGAGTGTAATGAAAATATACTATTGTAACTCACAGTTTAAACAAGGGTTGTGTATCAAATACAAATATGTAAATGTAAATTAGTGCTTAATTAACAATTAATTTTGCTTTTTTATTACTTTGTTTTGATTTATTAGTGCAATGTTTGCCTGTTTTCACTGCTTAACCAGTTGACATCCGCGGTGTTAAACCCCCTTCCAATCCAGGCCATTTTTATTTTAAAACATTTCAACAAAATGTACTTATAAAATACAATACAATGCAATATCAACATACATTATGTGTAGTGCCAAGAATCTTCCAAAAGGGATTATCCACTGGTTCTCACTTGCTGTTGAGGTAGGGTTCTTCTTTGTTGAAAAGAAGGATGCCCCTGCATTCATTACCGCAGACCTAATGCCATCACTTCTACCCATTGCCCCTTATTTTTGAGCTATTAGATCTTCTATGTGGAGCCCTACAGGGTGCATAGGACTTGATTTGCATCAATGAGGAAGACAAGTACAAGACTGCATTTAACACCAAGGATGGCCATTATGAACATCTAGTGATGTAATTTGGCCTCTGCAACACCCTTGCAGTTTTTCAAGATTTTGTCAACAAAATCTTCCATGATAAGTGTATTGTCATATACTTGGACAACATACTGATTTTCTCCCTGGACTTGCCCACTCCATCTTGTAATGTCTTTGTGACAGTGGACCAAAGCAGAAAAATGCCTCTTTGAGCTTCTACAGGTGTTTTTCCAAGGCTGCACGGTCTCCAAACATAGTCTGTCCAGTGATCTCAAAGCTACTCAGCCCTTTTTAGACTTCAACAGCAACTACTCTGTTGACTCAATTGCTGTTCTTAGCTGGAAAGATGCTGATCCCAAGATCTGGCCCACCAATGCAGTTAAAGCCTTTCATGCTATTAAGCATTCCAACTCGCCAAGCCTTTCTCCATCAAGATTGATGCCTCATTTATGGGGCTAGGTGCCCCCACACCATCTCTAGAATGTTCTTCCTGGCAGAGAAGTATTCAGTTGGAGATCGGAAACTGTTTGCTATCAAACCGTCTATGGGGGAGTGGTAATACCTCTTTGGAGGGTTGCCTAATCGTATCATCATATTCACAAATCATTAAAACCTTCAGTACCTTCAACTGTTCATCGCCTAAATTTGGTTTGGATCAATTCAGATGGGGTTCTTTAATGAAAAATTAGCTTAATTTTTGTAGTAATTTCAGTTCTGTACTTGGTCATCTTAGTCTGTACTAGTACTCTTAATCCATACTGAACATCTTAATCCATAGTGGACATCTTAGTCCGTACTGATCATTTTTAGTCCGTACTGATCATTTTAGTCCGTACTCGTCATCTTAGTCCGCACTGGTCATTTTAGTCAATACTGCTAATCTTAGTCCCTACTGGTCCTCTTAGTCTGTACTGGTCATCTTAGTCTGTATTGATCAACTTAATCCATACTGGTCACCTTAGTCCATACTGGTCATCTTAGTCCATACTGGTCATCTTTGTCCATACTGGTTATTAGAATTCGTATGCATCCGAAATTTACAATACATTTGAATTCTGAAATTCAAGTGCATCCGAAATTTGCAGAAATTTAAATTTGGAAATTCAGATGCATCCAAATGAAAATAAATTCTTCCGAATTTCAATTCAGAATTACATGTCTAATGTCGTCATCACCTTCAAATCCGTGACTGAAATCCCCAGAGCTGTTGTACTCTTGTGTTACTTTGATTGTCAAGATTTTAATGCTCCAGCTGAGCATTTTGAGGGGAATTTATCAAAACTGGAGCAGAAAAAAATCTGGAGCAGCTGTGTATGGCAACCAATCAGCTTCTTTCTTTCATTTTCAAAGCTTAACTGAAGAAACTGAAGAGAGAATGTATTTGGTTGATATGGGCAACTGCTCCAGATTCTGTCTGCTCCAGTTTTGATAAATTCTAGACATGTGTGATTCGTTTCGCTCTGAAATCGGGACATTTGGACACATCCGAATTTCCGAATCCCAAGCATCCGAATATGTCCGAATCTAAATTTCCGTTTCCGAATTTCGGATCCCATCTGAACTTCATTCAACAACAAAACTGTATTGAGCATGTGACTTTTCTGGCCAATCCGATGTGTTTTTCGGTTTAATGCATCCGAATGGGTCTGAACACGAATTTACTTTACGGCAACATGGGAGCCATCTGATTGGCCAGAAATGTCACATGCCCTAATTTGTGTAATTCGAAAATTTGTGTTCATGCATATACTACTAAGGCTGAGGCTGCTAGACCCGAATGGGATTCGTGATCCGAATTTCCTAATTGCATTCCAAAACCATTCGGGTCTGGCAGCCTCAGCTTTAGTAATATATGTATATGGCTTCCAGACCCAAATAGCATTCGGAATCCGAATTTCCAAATTGCATATATTACTAAAGTGGAGGCTCCCGAATGCCATTCGGAAATTCGGATCCCGAATGCTATTCGGGTCTAGGAGATTCAGCTTTAGTATTAATATCTGTATGTGGTATTCGCAACTAATATTCGTTATCTGAAACTAATGAAAATTCAGATTTTCTCCAAATCTGAAACCGGAATACAATTGAATTTCGAATCCGAATCCCAAATTTTGAAGTGATGAAATATCCAAACTGAACCAAACCGAATTTTTCCGCAGCTTACATGTCTAATAAATTCCCCCCTCAATGTTTTCCTCATTTGCATCCTGGTACTGATCTCCACCCATGAATTGGCCATCCCTTTGGCAAAAAACTTTAGTACCTGTAGAAATAAGAACCAAACACTCCAGACATCCTGGTGTCCATAGAACTTTCATGTATCTCTCCCACCAGCACTGGTGGGTGAGTCTCCGCAAGGAGGTGGGCTGTGTGTATACCTGTGAAAATTGTGCCCAGATCAAGCCTCCTATCCATGCCTTTTCTTCCGCTACCTGCATTGATGCCATCTCTCAACAGACCATCAATTACCTACCTCCATCTGCCAGGGTTGTGGGGAAAAGACCCTTGTCCTCATCAACATGTTGTGGCATGGTGAAGGGAAGGGGAGCACACCATCGCCCCACCCCTTCCACTTTCCTGCTCTGCTGCTGCTCAGATCTTTCTCAGTTCTCTCTCAGGTCCACTCCTTTGCTGATTAATAGAAGGCAGTGGGCGGAGCAATAGCCACCTTGCTATTGCAATCTAAAATAGCCAATAGCTATTGCTCCCATTGAAAAAAACGGTGTTTTGCATTTATTTACTATTGAATGTTTTTTGCTGAATGAATAGGGGTAACATTTACCCTTGTGATCCAGTGATTCTCACACTCTTGTGCCTCCAGAGACCCATGCACTCCTGTGATTTAATTTACTGTTACCCCTGTCATTTCCATTTACTGTTACCCCTGCATTTCTGTGACCCTGTGTCTCCTTTGCCCCTGCAATTATGTGCCATCCAGAGAATCTAAGAGCCCAGTGTCCCGGCCTAATGTGTCTAATGTGTCTCCAACGCTCCTCTGTCTTCCTGTGTCACTCTGACTCCACAGTATCCTTTGTCAGCCAGTGATCCCAGAGCATGCTAAGTTGCCTAGTGACCTCAAAGCTCCCAGTGCCTGCACAGCACTTTGTCTTAGGCTGTGACCCTGGAGCTTTCTGTGTCATCCAGTGCCTCCAAGTATCCTCTGTGATACTTGCATCTTCATGCAACCTTAGGTACACTAAACTGAGGTGTTGTCCAGCAGTCAAACAGCAACTAAAACTAACAAAAAGTTATATATCCCTGAAAACGCTCCAATATCTCACCGTGTGGATTAGAGTTTGTTAATGAGAGTGACAAAATACGTCTGTTTGGCAGTACGAAGGAAGGAATTGTGCACCTTCCCCCAACTTTTCCCTTGAGATTGTTAACACAACTATCCACCCCTCCTCCCATGCCAAGGTCCTAGGTGTCATCCTTGACTCAGACCTCACCTTTCTTCCCCACATCCAATCACTAGCCAAATCCTGCCGCCTTCACCTTCGTAACATCTCCAAAATACGCCCCTTCCTCACCAAAGAAACCGCAAAATTACTCATCCACTCGCTTGTTATATCTTGTCTTGACTATTGCAACTCCCTCCTCATTGGCCTTCCACTACACAGGCTATCCCCCCTTCAGTCTATCATGAATGCAGCTGCCAGACTAATTCACCTAACCAACCGCTCAGTGTCTGCAACCCCCCTCTATCAATCCCTGCACTGGCTTCCACTCGCCCAAAGGATAAAATTCAAAATATTAACAATCAGTTACACAGCCATTCACAACTCCATCCCCGGCTATATCTCAAACCTGGTCTCAAAGTATCACCCTAACCGTCGGCTCCGATCATCCCAAGACCTCCTGCTCTTCAGCTCCCTTGTCAACTCCTCCCATGCTCGCCTCCAGGACTTCTCTAGAGTCTCTCCCATCCTCTGGAATTCTTTACCCCGACCTGTCCGTCTGTCACCCACCTTGACTGCCTTTAGGCCTTCCCTAAAGACTCATCTCTTCAGGGAAGCCTATCCCACCTCAACCTAACCGCTCAACCATCACTTTCTCAAACAATTCATCCCCACACAGCTCCCTCCTCATGTATCACTTCCCCTTCCATTTTAGATTGTAAGCCCTCACGGGCAGGGCCCTCCTTACCATCTTGTCTTGATTTGTATTGTGATTGTAATGTCTTCCTTATATTGTAAAGCGCTGCGCAAACTGTTGGCGCTATATAAATTCTGTATAATAATAATAATCTGCTATAGAAGTGTGCAAATCACAGTAAGCCTGATAAACTATGAAACGAAATGCTGCCCCCTGCTGCTTTTCTTACCTCCCTGCAGCCTCTTATCCCCTACGTTCCGGTGGTCTAAGTTGCTAGTGCTATAAGCAGCTCAAGCGGCTGCCTGAGGGTGCCGTTGCGGGGGGGGGGACGGGGGCGGAAAAATTGTATCACCCGGCCAGCAAATTGCCTCAGATCAGGGGTGGACTGAC